GTCAACCCGTGGGAATTCTTTTTTTTTTTTTTTTTTTTTCGTGTTTTTTTACTATAACGTACAATTTTTTCATTCTGCTGCCATGCGCATGTGTGTTTATAGGCACATAAGCGTACATGTATGTATGGCTCCACGTATATGCATATGTATGCTTACACAAGTCGAGGCGAACGTGCAATGAGCACATATAGGCAAATGTATCTACGTGTTGAAGCGGCATTGTAATATGTCATGAGAAAGATAACGTCGTTGTTGTTTCGTAGCTTGCACGCTTCATCATTATTGCTGACAGATAAGAGGGAACAACTTTTTTCTTTTTTTTTTTTTCATAAAAATATTAACCATTGCATGATGTTTTGAATGTGCACTTAAAAAGACTAAAGGGAGTCAGTACAAGGCAAAGTAATGTGCCATTTGTATACAAATGCAAGCACACCGTACGTTTTTGCACATATAATTGTATATGATACGTGTGTACGTTTATTTTTGTATACATAGGACTGCCTCTATGTGAGCGTGAAACAGCGGGATCTCTGCAGTCATGAGATTTTCCCTTTTTTCCCGCACCCGCGCTCGGTCGAATCGCGCGTGTATATACATACAAGCGTAGTACCACACGTGCGTATATATAAACGTACCAAACTTCCTTCGTGCCAACGCCCCATTTCGTTCCCCATGATGAATCCCAACGAGGAATCCGAGGAAAAGGCAACCCAAAAGGACGCGCAGGGAGGAGCACCAAAGGGGGTCCAAATGGGTGAGGAGAAGGTCGCATCCAAGGTAGCCCAAACAGGTGAACAGAAAATCGAGCAGAGTAGACCCACGCAAGGTGGCCCCAAACAGGACAACGCGCACACGAACAAAGAAGACATGCAGAAAAACGTAAAGGACTACAATAACATTAATGACATGATCAGCTACATTATTAAAGTCGGGGTGTGGGAAATGTACACATACGAGTGGCTAATGAACAGAAAAACCTTCCTTTACTACAATACGTATGTAGAGAATTATTTTTTTTACGACAAGAACAACAATTTGACGCCATTTAATGAGAAGTACTTTTTTTTATATGTACTTACATTTGATAACACGGATTTTGTAGCTAGCTTTTTTTTTAAAAAAAATGAAAAAAAAAAAAAAAAGAAAAAAATTAAATTAAGTAGTTACACAAAAACCATGCAAGGAAGGAGAAAAAAACAGGAAGATCGGTACACAGTGATTAACGACATGACCAAGTATATAGATGCTTATGATTACAAAACTTTATTTTTTTATAAAAGAAATCCATTTTATTGCTTTTCCGTAATTGATGGTCACCGAGGTATAAAGGCCTGCGAATATTGTATGACCCACATTGTGAAGAATATTATTTACTACTTTTATAATCAAGACAATGTCAGAGAGGATGAATTTAAACTTGGCTCCTCGTCTGCCACAAAGGATAATAAACAGGATCCCTCTGATTGTCAAAGTTGCGCGGAGAATGGCGCTACCCATAAAAGGAAGATTCAAGGCACGGCGGCCAAAGGAAACACCCAGGAAGGAAGCAAAAAGGGTGAAAATAAAAGCTGTGATGATAGCAGCTCCACGGGTTTCTCCCGCCAGGACTCTTCCACAGGGGATGACAAGAAAGACTCGCCATCACGGAGTAACACAGAAGAGAGTGAAAAGGAGGAAGGTAAAAGCAGGGACAAACGCGTGATGGTAAAGGAACAAATTTCAAAAACTAAGAAGAGAAAAATAGACAGCAGCGACATTACAGAGAGAGAAGAAAGTCCATCACAGAGAGAAAGCGAAGATGACAACAAGAAGCGTAGCGAAGAAAACGTAAGCGCCGATTATGATGGAAGATCCGGGGAAGAAAAGGACGAGTGTACCCGTACCTCCATAACGGAGGATAGGGAAAAAACAACAAGCGCCAAAACCAGCGGGAGTGGCCAACAAAAACTTGTATTTTTAGAGGACCTCACAGATGAAGAAATCATGAATTGTATAAAACTCGCCTTCTTAAGAACAGACGAACAGTTCCTTAAAATTTCCAAATTCCCGAATCATGGTTGCACGGTGATTTCCCTCATTATCATAAAGAACAAAATGTTTATTGCCAACCTGGGGGACTGCCGGGCGATAGGAATCGTCAACGTGAACGATACCTTGGTAAGTGCCGTTGAGGCGATGGAACGGTAGACCGACGGAGCGGTGGAGTGGCCTGGCAGCATGACCGCGAGGCTCTCGTACGCATGTACAGATGTCTATACATATACGTCTGTATATATTTCTTTGTGTTTATTTGCACTTACACATGGCCTGCGTTTTTCCCCCCCTCCGCTCGCCCCCCTTGCAGAAACCGGAAATGCTGTCGCATGACCATAAACCCAATGAGCCTAAGGAAAGGGAGCGAATAAAAAAAATGGGAGGCGAAGTCATCTGCATGCAGAACGTGTTCAGGGTTAAGGCCAACGCGAAGAAGGTAACCGCAAAGATGAAACACCATGAGCCTCGTCTGTGTAGTAATGTGCGCATAGGAAAACCATGTCGAGAAAGCCGGACGCGCGGAAGTACTTCCCCCCTGCCAATACTTCCCTATTTTATTATCAGACAATGAACTTTACCATGCACACCTTCGCGTGTACACATTCACGTAGACCACTGTGGACCCTTCCAATTTGCTGGACCGCTTGCCAATGAAGGAGGAAGTTTACCTAGCCGGTACTATAGATGAAATGCACTCCGAAAAAGTGTGACTCCCAAAGTTGTGCATGTCGATTTTACATTTATATATATGAATGTATGTGTGTGTGTATGTATTTTTCCCGTGCTCACCATGCCCCTTCCCCCCTATATTTGCTCTTCCTCACCGTGACGTAACTGCAGTTTCCAGAGCCATAGGAGACAAAGACTTCAAAGAAAACAACGTGGTGTCAGCCCTACCGGATGTCATCTGCAGAGAGCTGTGCGACGCAGACAGAGATGAGAAGGAATCGGAAAAGGAAAATGTTGAAGCTTCCGACTCGACGGTAACAGTCAAAGTAGAAGAAGACTATTTCAAGGAAGGTGAACCATTTTTTTTTTCCCCGGATGAGATGAATTACCTGTTTGTTGTCTTGGCTTGTGATGGAGTGTGGGACACCCTGTCCAATAAGGTATGTCTAAGTTGATTCCCCGGTCGCCAGTAGCTCCTATGCGTTTTTATAAAGTTTTATCAAGGGGCCCCATCTGTCCAGATGGACGTATACATACACACACCGCTGCACATGTGTCCCCCGCTCTGTTTCTTCGTACCGTTACAGGACGTGACCCAGATCTTGCAAACCTACCAGCACGACCCGGACAAGGCCTGCAGCGAAATTATAAAAACGGCGTTTGCCTGTGGAAGTCAGGTAATTTGAATAAGCCCAAGTTGAGACTGTGTGTGGGTCAATCATACGACCGTTGGCATTGTATCTCTTTAATTAACCTACCATTCAAGTCTCTGAAATGTGTACATGCCCATTTTTTGCTCTCCCCCAGGACAACATAACCGCCCTTGTGTTAAAATTCTACTGAGTTGGGAAGACCTGGGCTGGAGTTTTCTTTTTGGTGAAATGGCCGCCGTGTAAGGCGAATGCAGATACCTTCGAAATTTTTGTACGAACCGCTGTGCTGTACGGAGCTCTGTCTAGCTGAGTTAAGCTTCCCTTTTACCCTTTCGAAGGCGAAGACGCGCAGAAGAAGTGAGGGCGAAATATGTTGAGACATTACAAGAAGGAACAGAACAGGGAGCAATAGTCGTGGATAAAGTAATGGGGGATAGCCCAACCCCCTTTATTAATTACGTATGGAGTAGCACAATGAGATGTGCTGTCCTTTTTTTTTTTTTATGTTTGGGAAATTATGTAAAGGAGAACCTAACAGATGGGAAATTATTTCAAGACGTCTAGTCTAGGTGGCACTGTTCTGCTTTTTCCCCTTTGCATTGTACAGTTAATTTTTCATTTTGAATTTTTTCACCTTTTCAATTGGTGCCGCCCGCTGGTATCGCGCACCTTGCACTGCCCAATTTTGATTACGCGGGAATAAACGCCCTTCCCCAATTACCCTCTTGGAAGAAATACTAGGTGATGGAAAACACGGGGGAGCTTCCAAACGGATAGCGAAACGACACCGTCATGCTAATGAACAGAAGGTAGAATGCCAGCAGAGTGACAAAAGTTACTGCCTCTTTTCGTCGTAAGAACAGTGCGGATAGCCCCCTTCATCGATGGAGTGCCTTAAAAACAGTAAAGCTTCTCAAATTACAGAAGGTACGTTTGTTGATAAGCCTATTGCAGTTATTCCGAATGTGACAAACATAGAAGAAGAAAAAAGAAAAAAAGAAGGAAAAAAAAAAAAAAACGTTAATAGATGATCGATCGAAATGGCAAAAGAGAATACCTTCAATTTTTTAAGTCCCTATCCGTTCCCCATTTTGGCCTTTCATTTAAACGCTGTGAAAGTGTGGATAAATATGTACACACCTGTGTTTCTTGCCCCACCCTTTCTCTCCTGGGCGACAGACATGATGTGCAAGATGCAGCTGCGCATATTTCCGCGCGCCCCGGTACCGTTTCACCGAAATTTTTGTTTTAAAATTGTTTTTCCCCCTTATAGCACCTGTGAATTAATCTTTCCACACGCTGTCTATATGTGTGTATGTGTATGTATGTATGTTTGTGTGCTCCCCCTTTAAAAGGCCACCGCGCGTAGGCCCACTTGCACACCTACATTCACATATCTGTCTGCATTCCTACCCTTGTACTTTTTTTATACGTAATTAAAACAAAAGTTTTTGTGGCCCGTGCACGTGTACATTCGCAATAAAATGGCGCACGCACAAAATGAATTGTGGCTTTAATTAAAGTAAAACATGTTTGAAAAAAAGCTTGTAATTTTGAAAACATGGATGACGCGTGTTGGTGCGAAAGTCGCAGTTTAGTGAACCAGCAGGCACAAACGGGACATCTGCTTCAACCAAGTGGTGCAAAAGTAGCAGTTGCGTCCACCAGCGGCGCGAATGGCACAGCTGCTTCATCAAATCGGCGTGCCCGCACTCGCGCGCAAATACTTCTCCATGGATGCAATGAACCATGAAAAAAAACTGGTGATTAAGCTCCCAGAGCGCGGGTCGGGGAAAACATTTTGATAAATGAGCGGATGGATATCTGCAGAGTAGTAGGGCATTTCGAAGGAGAAATATTTCCATGAGCAAATAAACAAATCCCTTACCTTCGCGAGAGACAAGTGGAGGAACAACTGCACGAGTTCGTAGTCCAGCGCGAGTTGGCAGTTCCGTCCGCCAGTATTAACTTGGGCACGGCCAGGGAGATCATCCCCATGAAAGTCGTCAACATCGTCCCCTCTGGCATCCCTGCTGGGATCCCCGTTGGCACATCTTTCCGCCAAGTTGCTGTGAACCCCCTCAGTGGACTCGTACATGACGGCAAAGCAGAAATCCACGGGAATGGACTGGTTTCCAATGGAGGGAATCATAACGTCGCTTATGAGGAACTCCAGACACTTGTGGTTTATGTCCGTGCAGTGAATTTTTATTTTCTTCCTCTTCCCCGTGACGCTGGGAAGGTTTAGTGCCAGGTTATTATTTCTGTCTTTCAAATTATTTGCTTGTTCGGCCAGGATGTAGAAAATCGATTTATCTATGAGTACCCACTGTGCAGTTGTCAGTTTCTCATGCATCTTTTTGGCTTGCTCAAAAAAAATATTTTCTGGAATTATTCTTTCTGGAAAAGTGTTTGCCCCCCATGCGGAATGATTTTCCTTTGTGTGCGTTTTTAATTCATTCTTTAGCTGTACGTTTAATGGACACAAGTCAAACTGGATGGCATAGTTTTTTTCGATCAAGTGCGCAGCTATCCCTTCGAACTCGACGGAAATGACGCTCATGCTATCCAGCATGCTGAATATTTTTATTTCTTCTTCCTTCACATTTGGGTAGTAAAAAGTGTAACTCTGTTCATTTGTCTTATGCTCACCGTTAATGGATGTGTGAACTTCATTCAGTATAATATCTCCATTCGGTTTGAAGCTATCTTGTCTATTTTGTAGACCCTCTGTTGGGTCATTAATTTTGTATTCTTCGCCAAGAGGAGGAATCATTTCCTGTGTGGTGCTCTGCCTTTTGTTCGGTTTATGCCTAAATAGAGAGTCATCAATAGCGCAACCTCCAGTCTGGTTATGTATTCCACGCTGTATATCCTTTTCCAACCCATCAAACGAAAAAGTGACATTTGCATACTGTGATTTGAAGGGAGAGAAAGAAGGGTAAGGTGGCCAGGAGAGAAATATCGGATTGGAAGAAAAGTTCCAAAAATAAGATGGAAGAAAAAAATACTCAACAGAGACCTCCGTAACGTAAGGGAAATTATTATCAAGTTGTAAATAATCTATTTCGGAATATTTTTTATTTAATACTTTCCAGTATTGAATGAGTTGATTGATAAAATGTAAAAAATATTTCTGTGCAACAATGCCGTTTATGGAGTTAATCTGCTTTCTTGTTTCTTCACACAATTTTCTCAACTTCTGTAGGAGTTCTTTCCTGGTCGTAACAGCGATGCATATGTCCTGGTTGTTAGCTTTTATATCCCTCACATAGTTACACTTATTTAGGGTTAAATATTTTGTGCCCTTATCATAATTCAGTGTACCTAATATTAGGTCAAATAAAACCATCAATTCTTTTAAATCATCCTCGACCATCACTCTGTATTCCTCTCCTTGTGTCCATTCTTTATCATTTCTCAAATTATTGTCATTACTTTTTATCTGGATCCTTTTTTCCATTGCTGAACAGAACAATTGTGCATACTGTTGTAGATTCTTCATATTTTTATTTTCTTCATCTGGTATTTGTTCGAAAACGCAGGATCCATCTGGTAGATATCTGAGCAGTCTATAATCCCCCTCTCCATACGCCTCCACCTTCAAATCGATATCGCGAAATTTTTCTCTCTGCTTTTCATTCTTGTTCGTCTTTTCACTCCCCTCCTCGACTTTTCTGTCTTCCTTCATTTTGTGGTCCTCAGCGTGCAAAGAGAGGAAGAGATAGATTCGTCTCGACGTTACAGGTATGTTGAACTCATCTGTGGTGTTTTTAGTTTTCCCCTTTTTTTTTTTTGTGTGTCTTCTCAACTTGGATTACTGACTCAATGGGAGACCGATCTACGTACTGAGACAACCGTCGTGTAGGTGGACTATTTTTGCGAGCGTGGTCCGCTTATAGAAAAAACCCCACGGAGGAGTCGCACGGAGAGATTTCCCCCTAAGCGGAGAACTGCTTGCTGTCGCGGGTAGCCCCAAGGCGCACCGAGAGAGCATGGTGGTGCATAGATGTACGTACAAGGCGGTGCATGTCTATGTGTGTGAGCGCATAAGCAAGCTTCCTCTTAGAAGCGGTGCAAATGATGCCCTCACTTCGCTCAAAATGGGTGCATATATATATAAGATATACATATATAGATACACCTGTACATACATCTACGTACTCATTTCAAGAATTATTTCTCTGCCAAGCCGAAAAGGCACTTTTCTCAATATGGGTAGTGACACCAATGGCAGAATCGCATCGCATGTGTAGGAGGGCGAAAGTAACACGGCTAAAAACAAAATGGGGAAAGTTGTCCCTAGACATGCGGGAGGGGGAAGAATCCGCCACGCTTCTGCCATGCATCTACCACGCCTCTTCAACCGTTTAGCATTTTTATATGCACATTTTTGCAGAGGAGGAATTGCCCACTTAAAAGGAAATGGAAGAACCGATTAAATGCGTGATGGCGCAGCTCGCGTGATACGCCGCTCCATATGCATACGCATAATCACATGAACTATTGGGGCATAACTGTGGGAACGAATTCGTGGCGCACCACTGGGGTGTTGCATTCGCAGCTCTGTGTACGATGGGGATAGTGGCTGGTAGGTAACGGTTGGTAGGTAGCTGCTGGTAGAGGTAGCGGTTGTGGGCTACCAATTCGTAGCCGCCGCGCCTGTTCACCCTTTCGTTCTGTTCACGCGGTTAACGCATCCGTTTATGCAAACGTTTTTTTTAAGCTCTCTATTTCCCGTTCCATCCACGCATATGCCATTCGGTCGTTTCACTTTGTAACATTTCTTTGTGCAGCATATCACCTGGCAGCGTTTCATTTTGGGGCTGCGAAATGTGACGCTGATTTTTTTTTGACCGCCCCTAAAAAAAGGGTCGCTAAGGAGGGACGTTTCATCTGCCCAGTGTGAGTTAAATTTCAGCTTCGATGAATCTTATGACAAAACTGACAATTGCAGTTTTAGTTAAATTTTATTTTGTTTCTCCTCTATTTAGCATTCACCAGCCATGCAGAGGAACCATGCCAAGATAAGCACCCATGCCATAACGACAAATTTTAAAAGAGCTATCCAACCATTTAAGAGGCATACACTCCGACAGGAGGTAACAAATCAACACAGCTAAGTTCTACTCTTTTAGGTTAATTTATCTCTGTAAATTGGCTGCCCTCATGCGGAGTTGTCAATCAAAGTACGTTCTATCGTTTTTGTCGTACTCGTGAAAGAAGGAAAAAATGGTAAAGTGAAAAAATGGAATAACAATGCCCAAGAGATTCCAGCGTGATGCCTTGAAAACACGTGCATGTTGCGAATCCCCGCTACTATGAAAAGCAGCCTCCTTTCAGGCGGCGCGAAATGGGGGCTACACACATACTATGCTCCCACGTAGCACTGCGTACCTGTAGATATGTGAGTAGATATTTCCGCCTGGCCTTTCCCCCCTGATTCGCAGCTTTTTTTTACCTTTTTTCAACAACTGGCAGATAAAAACCACCACGTGACGGTCGAACTGAAAAATGACTTGCAAATATCTGGGGTATTACATTCGGTAGACCAATATCTGAACATCAAATTGACCAATGTAACTGTGAATCACCCGGAGAAGTATCCTCACTTGGTGGGTAACCCTTCGGAGACGCTTCGTCTGCCTAGTGGAATGGCCAGATGGGGAAGTGAGTGGCTGTCCCGAGGGCGCACAGCCTTTGGGAGGGTTCTCACTTCACCGCTTCGTGACTTCAGCGCCACACTTCCACACCGCTTCCCCTCCCCTCGCGTAGCTGTCGATCAAATCCTGCTTCGTGCGGGGCTCTGTCGTGAGGTATGTTTTCCTGCCGTCCAAAGAAATCGATGTGGAGAAGTTACACCACATGTGCAGGAAGGAAGCCAAGATGACTTCGGAAAAGGAGAAGGAGAGAAAGTGATGGGGCGACGCAAGTAGATGGGCCCATTGCAATCTGCGCATGGAGATACGCGAAAGGCGATTTCGCTTCTCCCCCACTTCATCCAAATGACGGCCACAAGCAACACACACCACGAGGTGGACAAACTTTTGTGGCAAAAAGGGGTCAGTCATCCTTAGGAACGCAAGGAAGTTTTGGAGGCCCCCGTTTGGCACCAAGTATAAATCATTTTTTTTTTTTTTTGTCTTTCATTTTGCAAATTTTTTTTTTTACAATAACTTTTAAAAACAGCGTCATTGTTAAATTGGTTTAAAAAAAGCAACCTTTTCCGTCGGCCGCCATTATGACATACGGAGCGTACAAAGAGGTAAACTTTACCCATGTAAAAGGTTTACACAGAAATGCAGACATATGAAAATACATGTGCATTGGTGAAAACTTTGCAACACAAAAAATGAAAGACAGTTAAAAGGCAAGAAAAAAGGGTCCCCATCCGTTTCACCTTTCGGCACGCGACCAAAAAGTGTGGCTTTAGTCATCATATTCCTCTTCCATAAAACGTAGTTTGCTGAAACACTGCACCAGTGTCGTTTAATGTGTGTGTTTCATTTGTAAGAATGAAATATACATGGTGATATGTTCCTAGGAGGCCCGATTTCCCTTTCGAAACTACTTCCCCCCACCACCACCGACATACATACGTACATACACACACAGAGACACAATCATTGCTGCCTGGCCCAGCCAAGCAACTGCGGGAGTAACAAATTTGCTGCCTTCTGAAAAAGAAGAAATTCAGAAAAAGGGGAGCTGACATGAAGTTCTTCAAAATTGTTCTTTTTCTCGTCATTCAAATTGTTTATCTGAGGACTCTGGTTAACTTCCATGTTGAGGTTATTCATTTCTCCCAAGTTGCCATCCGGATTGCCACACGGATGATACTTGTATCGTATAACTATGTGGTCCTTCTTCTCCTTGTGCTTATCGATAATTAGGCAGTTGTTGTTGCTGCCCTTGACAGATATTGGCGTCTTTATCTTCTCTGCGTCCTTCAGAGAGAGCAAAGGGGCCAAATTGTTGATTTTAAGGATAATGCTCATTTTATTATTTTTGTCGTACTTATTCGAGTTGCTGTGTTTTTTCATGAAGACAAATTGAAACCCCCCCTTTCCATAGATGGTCACTTTATTTTTATTAACGATGTAGTCCGGATATATTGGCTTTATTTGGCACATGGCTGAGCTGCCAAAAATGCTAAAGTATTGGTACGTCGTGTTGGCGGTAGCGACGGAAGCGCCGGGGGGGGCGTTGTTGTCCACACCTTCGGCATTTACACCATAGTTGTACTTCGGGTAATAACTGTTCGGCTGATTTTCGTAATTAAAACTCATCTGGTTTGGCGTGGCACTCGCGTTATTTTCATGGCTGCTCATTTGCATGTTCATATAATTGGGGGGCACATTATTGTACATCCCTGGATTGAAAACCCTATTTTTGTATGTATTGTATTTGCTCTTTTGTATCAGTTTTGCCAAGTCTGTGCTGCTTACATGGGCTCTCTGTGTGGCATGGGGAACTTCCCTTTCTCCTCTGTTCAGAAGCCCAGGGGTGAGGCTGCTGTACAGCTTTGCCTGCACATTGGCGCGCAGCCGCTTCTTTAGATAATTCCCCTGCATTGTGTATCGTTCTCTACGCAGTTGCAGGGTGTGGCTAGCTATGCGTAGGGTAATTATACTGGGCAAAGCAGCTGCGCGGAGGAATGCGCAGATAACTACACGAACCGTGAACACCTCGCGGGGGGCAACTTGCCAACGTGGTCGAATGCCACGAACCCCCAGGCGGATAATTCTCCCGTGTTTACGGATTTGCAAAATTGGGTTGGGGGGGCTACTGAGAAATGTTCCCTCGTTTTAGAAACGTGCCGATTTTCCAACTTTTCAATACCGTCCCCTTTTGCGCTTTTATCTTTCTGCGTTTGGTTTGTATCGACTGGTTGGATTTTATTTCAGCTGACGGGTGGAAGGCTAAATGGCTCTAGGAATTTTTTTTTTTTTTTTTTTTTTGTACCTTTTTCCTTTTGCACGCTTTAAAATGTTTTTACGTTGACGTGGCTAAACATGTTTGTTAGGCAAAATGGTTAATTTGAAGACTTCGCCCGGTTGCATTTGCCATATGTGTATTTTTTCAAAGGGGCTGCTTCTTTCCCCCCCCGTGGGGATCAGCATAGGCGGGGTTAAGAGTATTCGTTTGCCAGTTCTGTCCCGCCCTTTTTTATAAGAACAAGAGTGGGCCTGGTGCGACATGATAAAGTGGGATTTATATGTACACATCGGGAGAACAAACAGGACGGTGTGCAAATAGGTTAAGCGAATCTCTCACCACCTCCCTTCAGAAAATATCCCACCAAGAAGCAACGTATCCACGATGAGACATTAAGGGGAAGTGAAACGCCCCTCTAATTTCTTGGGGCTAACGTTCGGTTCACCCTACACAAAGGTTACCTAAATACAATTTTTGTTCCACGAATGAACAGGGACAAAGAAAAAAAAAAAAAGCAAAAAAGAAAAAGGAAAAAGTCCCATAAGGGGGACTACAAATGTGTGGACAAAACATCGCACAGGGAGAAATTATTCCGTGAAAAATGGGAATAAAAAAAAAGAAGGACCCAATGGTACATGTGCACACATTTGTGCAGATATAGATACAAACATATATATACATACAAATATATACACATTTGCATGGTGTGCCATATAGAAAACCCCTCCATGTTGAGAAAAGAAAAAAGAAGAG